AAACTAAACTTTAAATAAAAAAATAAAAAAAATAAAAAAAAAATAAAAAAAATAAAAAAAAAGAAAGAAAAAAAAGAAAAAAGGTAGCAATTCTTATATAATTAGATCTCATAACTTGCATTACAAAACATTAGTATGCTAATAAGAAGCTAAATTAAGGATTAGTATAACTTTTAAAGGAAGAATAATACAAAATGTGAAACCATTAGAGTGTGTTCTATTCATGTGAATATCACTTATCAAAACTTAAGTGAACTTATCTGAACTTATTAGATCTAAAATAAGTGTAAATAAGGTGAACAAAACAAGTTCTAGTGAAATGTCGATCTAACATAAACCAACAGTGTCACATATGTATAAATTTTTATCATCATTTGGAATTTATTTTACTTTACAACATTCATTAGTTTTTGAGAAAATAATTAAACCTGACTGTTATTACATGAAATATGATGCATGAAATAATGTAGGCTAGAACAAGTGCATATGAAGAAGTTGAGCAGCATGGCGAAGATGTTAGGGACTATCTTTTGCGTAGTTGGAGCAGCCTGCATGGCTTTTCTCAGAGGCTCTAAATTACTAAACAACGTCGAACTCCCACCATCACCCATCTCTCTTTTGCTTAACTCTTTTGGAGGTGATGACACTTGGTTGATTGGTTGTCTCTTTATCTTTGCTAGCATGTGTTGCTGGTCATTCTGGCTCATTTTGCAGGTACTTTTTGAGTATGACGTACTTTTTCTGTCCTTAAATGATATGCTAGCTGCAATTTTTTTTCTTTTTTAATTAGATCAAAACATAACTGTGTTTAGTAAGATTTATTTATTTATTTTATATTAAATTTTATGAACAGGTACCATTGATCGCATGCTACCCTAGCCACTTATCTCTCTCTGCTTGGATGTGTTTCTTCTCTATGTTACAATCCGGGGCAATCGCCTTGTTCTTAGACCACGATCCAGAAGATTGGAATATGACCTCAAATCTTGAACTCACTTGTTGCTTCTTTTCGGTATGTATAATTAACATATTCTAGTGCCATCTATGTAAGAAGTAAGTACAATATCTTAAAACGAAAAAAAAAAAAAAAAAAAAAAAAAAGAAGAATATTCGTATGATTGTATGAATAATCCAAACTTATATCTACATATATATGGAATACTATGTATCTTTTACGGAGTATCCCGTATTTGAATTTTGAATTGAGATACATACACACACACAAAAAAAAAAAAAAAAAAAAAAAAAAAAAAAAAAAAAACCTAACCTTGAAGGTCATATTCTCTTATCTGATGTACTAGGGAATATTTGGATCCGGAGTTCAATTCTTTGCACAAGCCTGGTGTATCTCGAAGAGAGGTCCACTCTACTCAGCCATGTTCAACCCTCTATGCACCGTTATCACAACTGTCTTGGCATGCATTGTTCTCCACGAAGAACTCTACGTTGGCAGGTACTACGACGTACTTAATAATATCATCGTCTGTTTCTTAATTATATATTACAAGTATTAATACAAGAAACTTTTAATTAGTTTTCAAACACCCATAAATATATGTAAATTGAGAAACGGTAAAAATAACCCTAATATAACAACGACTATGTGTATAAATTTATGATAACACTGAATAATATAAATTGTACGTGATTTTATCATAAATTCCCGTTAATCCTAACAAAGTGAGTTGTTTTTGTTGGTTACTTTTTCAGTTTATTAGGTGGTGTTGGGGTGATCATTGGCTTGTACATTGTGCTATGGGGCAAAGCAAAGGAAAAGAAAGAAAATTTATTAGAATGTGAAGATTTTGAAAGTGATCCATCAAAAGCACCAAGCTTTAAGATTGTTAATGATCTGGAACAGCCATTATTATTGACAGATAATTGTAAGGAACAAGTATAATTAGATTTTTTAGCTGTAACTTATACGAAGTATTTATAATATTATTCTTTATTTCTTTAAAATGTACTTATATTCCATTTTTTTGACCAAGCTCTATTTGGCTTGTATGTAATACAGAGCACATTACTTAGCTGCCATCGAATATAGAGGATACATGTGTCAATTTTGTTGATTAGTATGTTGTTGATACATGCCATTGTATTGGGTTATAATTTTTGTTTCTCTGCTAGATGAGATTAATAATATGAATAGTTTGATATATAAGATGATATTAAAAATAAGATGTTTCAGCATTATCTTTCAGTTTGTATTTATGCTAGCTTCTGTGCCTAAATAATAAGTACGAGTACGTTGTATTTTGATTTATATATGGAGTATTCGAATAAATGACGGTTGATAATAACATAATTCAACTAAAATAAACTAAATATATACTTTTAGCGATCATGCCAAGTGATAGATCGATTTGTAAAATTAGTGATGCATTATTTAAATTTCTTCTTAGCAATCTAAAAAATAACATCAAGGAAAAAAAAATTACTCGTAAAAAGTTATAGACCTTAGGGAATTCACCAACTTTTATATGTGGTTGGCCAAATCGTCTGGCCAACCGTCATGATAGTTACTTTATTAGTGTCAGCGTTACTCGGTCGGTGTTACAAGGGGTCCTTTGTCAGTGTTATAAGAATTACTTGATCAATATTATAAGGGTTATTTTGTTTTTTTATAAGCAGCCACATAATATGGCTTTTGCACACAAAACACACCGGATATGATGTTATTAAACTGTTCAGACACACACGTGACACACCATGCATCTTTGAGACCTTGAATCTTGAGGGCAATTGTGGCATAACCACATTATGTAACAAAACGTGTTTGGGCTGTTGGCCAGCCTCTTAGTATAAACCCAGCCCAACTAAGCAGCCAACGTTACAAGGGCCTTGCGGAAACACTTTTCTCTATGGATCTCAGTAGCCTCTAAGCCCAACCCAAATGAGTATCAGCTTAATATATAACACCCATGTGACCATAAATATGTATAGAAAGTCAAAGTGATGTTCTTCATAAGTTCATAGATCACTCTAGTTCAGTTTATTTGCAAAAGAATTTAGGGAAGCCTAAGAAATATTTGGTACTCCTAACTCCTAAGCCCTAATGGACTTGTACTCTATCGGTCATACGGAGTCATGAGTAAACCTATTGAGCTTGTTTCAGGCCGTGCCATGCCGACCAAATTTGCAATATGGCTCATGGCATGTATCCTAGCTGTGACTCAAGCAATATAAGGGAAGCTAACCCATGCTCTAATTCGGAATAGCATAATTAATATTAAGGTGTTTTGTGATAAGTTATTGAGTTAGCCTTCCTAGCTACACACGGCCTAAACACAATGCTGGCAGCTTCTCATTTTGAGCAGCATAGTAAGTACCCATACTCCCATAGTTAAGTACTCGTTTAGTCGTTTGCATTACTAACATCTTCAATTGCCCTTTCCATGTTAAATTATACAACTTATTAGTGTACACTTTCTCAAAATAGTAAAAGAGTGCACAGATTATTTTTTATTACAATTATTTAAGAATCAAAATATTGGGCAAACAAAAGGAGACAGAGGAAATAAATCGGCGAATTTGAAGGACATTTAGGTCCCACAATTATTATCTCTAGTCCCCACCAACAGCCATTATGAGTTGTTCTTTTAAGGTGTAATTTGTACATGCAATTGAACATCAAATAGATCTTTGCAATCAAATTTGCATGTGAGCTTATTTGGCTGGATTATCTTACATTTTAATTTTCTGTAAATAGAAACAATGGCTATATTAACCAAAATGGAAAGTAATTCCTAACAATCTTAAGTCATTTTTAGGTGGAAGGAAATCTGCTTAGTCATATTTTCGTGGAAGGCAAGCTGGCAAGTGGTAGCAAGGACAAGGTAGTCAATTAAGGAAGGTAGGGGAAAAAAAAATCACTTGTGACAATTGTATAATGATACAATCTTGACCCGTTCTTTTTGTTTTTACTTATGAGTGTAAATTATATAAAAAAAAAAAAAATTAAAAGTACATGTATAGATAAATTAAAATACAAAATTGCAGATAATAATAATTTGTAATAATGATAATTTAAGGTCAAAGCCTTAATGCATTAAGCATTAACAAAATGAATGAAAGATAAATATAAGGTAAGTACATATTGCTTAAGTTTTAATTAAGGCTTACATAATAGAAATTTTAAACTACTAATTGAAAGAAAATACCCATAAAACATTCATCAATAATCTTGATTTTTGTAAAATATCATATCCGATCCTTTCTGAATTTTCCAACACTTATCATAATTCATAAAAGATTTATCTAGATGTAATTTGAATTAGGATAACTCTTATCAAAACTTTACTATTTTTCCTATACTTATCTTTTTGAACTTATGAAATCTAAATAAGTAAAAAATAGAGTGAACATAATCAAACCTAAGTGAGCTTGATCCCTTTGTGTGACAATTTAGAAAATTTTATTTCATACCTTCGGAGTAACAAGTAGAGGTGTTAAAACCTGACCCGACCCTACCCGATAAATTACCCAATTCAGAGTTCGACTTTTGAAATAGACCACACTGAACTTAACCCGGACACCTGAATTGCACCTCTAGTAACAAGTAAGGAGTATAGTAATCTTGAATTTTTGATTCATCTCAATTTAGATGAAAATTTACATACCTTTGTAGTTAGGTCATGAGCTCATGACTATATAGTTTGATGAAAAATAAGAGAAAAATAGAGCAACTATGACAGAAATCCTAGTCATTATCTGATAGAAACAAATCTATAGTCCAATGAGGAGACTCGCCCCCGTGAATCATCATAATAATGCTTCACTCCACTACCATAGCCACATGCAACGTACACAACACTTATAAAAATAATATCTTTAACAACTGTACTCTTTATAGGTTCAATCTCATCTTTCTGAATACAATTATTTTTACTTCTATATTCATATTATTATATGTTATCATTGATATTTATTGCAAAATAAATTACTATAATATTATAGTATATACAACTTTACTTTAAAAAAATAGGTGTATAAATATATTATGTTGGTAAGAGGCCAAAGAAATTGAGAGAGAAATTCAATTTTGCGAAATAATTAAGGAGAGCCAAAGAAGAAAAAATGGGGGCATGGGAACATCAATTGCCTGCCATTGGAGTGGTTTCCATGCAAGTTTTGTATGCTGCTATGGCTCTTCTTAATAGGGCTGCCCTTGTTAAGGGCATGAGTCCTAGGGTTTTTATTTTCTATAGGCAAACTATCGCGACTTTGGTGATTTCTCCCATTGCTTACTTTACAAGAAGGTTAGTACCTATAATTGACACGATCAACATATATATGTGTTCATATTCGTGAATTAGTATTTTACATTCTTTGATTTCGGTGTAAAATTAATAATTTGATAGATTCTGTCAATGATTGTTTAAGCTAGAGTACATCTTATTTAACACGCAAAGTAAAGTGTTTTTACTATGCCCTTAGTATATGGATTTTTTTTTTTTTTTTTAATCGCTACACATACCAATGGTGAGGTACGTTAACACGTGTGGTGTACAATATGGTGGATGTACTATAAACACCTCCGATTGTTTCTTTGTGCTAAGTTACTATGTTCAAAATGCCTAAATAATTACTTGTGAATGGTTAGTGTTGTATAATACATTAGATACGATTTGTAATGATTCGCGTTAGCTCGAGTAATTTAATCAATTTTTGAGATTAATGTTAGTGTTTTATTGGCAGGGGAAGATCTAGTACTATGCCAAGTATGGGTTTTAAGAGCTTTCTTTTGGTGTTCATCACAGCTTTCATTGGGTATGTTGTCTTAATACGGAGTACTATGATATTTAATTAGCATCTTAATGATTGACCAAATCAAATATTGTGTTACTAAATCTTTTTGATTTTGTTTCCGACTACTAATTTGATAAAAATGTAAAAACAGGGTTACTCTGAATCAGAACATGTATTTTGAAGGGTTATATTTGGCTTCCTCATCAATTGCAAGTGCAACATACAACTTGATCCCTGCCGTCACCTTTATGACTGCGGCGGTTGTCGGGTAAGACTGTAAGAGAGATATTCAACTTATATCTTATCTCTTATCTAACTAAGGGTGTATTCTATTCAACTGAATTTTACTTATCTAAACTTACTAAATAGACTAATGGTGCGATTAGGAAAATCTATGAGATGAGTTACAATCATTATTTTTTGTGCTAAATTAGACTAATTGTATGATAATCCTTTCCTTATCAAAGTTGAAATTTTGAGGTGTCGCATGATGTTGGCTAACAATTCAACTTGTGATCTACTAATAGCATCCACAATCTAAAAGTGTATGCAACATGTTCAGTCATCCCAAATTTCAAACATCTCATCTCACATAAAGGTGTAGTGATCTTCAGCGTAATATTTATGAAATTGTGAGACTATTTCTGTTGTATAAAAGTGTTAATGTTCAAATGAGAAATAAAATCTTTCCACAACTTTTAAAATTGATGAACTTTGCTTGAAATATTAGGTTGGAGCAAGTGAACATAAGGACATTAAGCAGTGCAGCAAAGATACTAGGAACAACCTTCTGCGTGGTAGGAGCGATTTCTATGGCGTTGTTGAGAGGTCCTAAGCTACTTAATACTCAACTTCCACCACTCAATTCTGCATTGCTGCAGTTGTATGCGGTTGACAACACCTGGTTCTTGGGTGTTCTATGTCTCCTTGCTAGTAGTTGTTGCTGGTCCTTTTGGCTCATTTTGCAGGTACATTTCCACTTTTTTGTGGTTACAATGATTTGTTTTCCATTAATACCACTACTTACAATCGTCTATTTGTAAATCAGGTGCCAGTTAATGCGCGTTACCCTGATCACATATCCCTCTCAGCATGGATGTGTTTCCTATCAATGCTGCAAACTGGTGCTGTCGCCTTGTTCTTAGAGCCTGATCCTGTTTCTTGGAATTTAAGTTCGGGCCTTGAACTCACTTGTTGCATTTTCTCGGTATGAATATAAGATTATTATCTAGACCCATTTTATAGTATCAGCCTTAAATCTTTAGCAATACATTGTGTACATGATTTATCTACTGACAAATGTGGCATGGATGGTTTAATCTGTAGGGAGTTATGGGATCAGGGGTACAATTCTTCATTCAATCCTGGTGTATCTCGCGTAGAGGTCCATTTTACTCTGCTATGTTCACTCCTCTAGCCACTGTTATAACTACTGTACTAGCCTGTATTTTTCTCCGCGAAGAAATTTACCTTGGCAGGTAACTACATAAACAAAAGATCAGTTTTTACTATCGATGTCAATATTTTTGGTACATATTTCTTCAGGTTTTTGGTGGCTGTAATGCAATTAACACAATATTAACTTCATTTCCTCTCAGTTTACTAGGTGCTATCGCTGTGATCATTGGCTTATACGTCGTGTTGTGGGGCAAATCAGAAGAGCTAAGGGAAAATCTGGTTCTTGCATCAGAAAAATGTCCAACTATAATAGCCCAAGAAAAGATATGTGGTAAAATTGATTTGGAGCAACCACTTTTGACAGCTGATAATAATACTACCGATAAGGATTATGTTAGTTGATTGTAGAGTTGTAAAATCACATTCAATTTTGTGATCAAAATTGTACTAGCTAGGTGGTGTTCATTAGTACATATCTCCATAGAATGTATGTGTAATGGATGCATTTTGATAGTGTATTATTAGTCAATTAATTTTGCTATCTTCATATATCGTTGTTATGATGTTTGAACACATAGCATTCAGGCATGCTGTGCTTTAAACAAGCTTGCGGTTTCATGCTACGGGTCTGGCTCATAACTCTATCAATGTAGCAAAGGTAAGCGATTAATTCACCACTTCTTTGGACAATACAGTTATACAGGTAAAACTTACGAAACAGTATCAGTAGGTATCAAGAGCGAGATAAATCAAACACAGCATAAACAATGATCTATGAACACGCCAAATGAGAAGCTCTGTCATAGTATAGAACAAAGTGATCAATATACACAGCAACATGACTAACATATAAACCGTATGTCCATATACACTACTACTAGTGTATGAAAATAATAGACAAACATAAGCTATGCAGAGATTAAAAAAAAATTGAACCAGATAGAATCAAAACAGATCTAACATCTGTACAGATAACATTCTAAGTAATAATACTGACTACGGACTGATCATCTAAAGGTCATCTTCAGCGATATGGCTTCCATGGATCAGCACTGTCCCACCTATTGTTGCGGAAAGCACAGCAACCAATAGAGTATACGATGATGAGGAAGACAAGGAAAACGATGTTGATAACAGCAACCCTCTTCCAGTCACTCTTGAGGTTCTGCAGAAACCCGGCTTTGCACGAAGTGCAGTCATAGCAGAGAGTGGTTGAGTTGTTGTTCCAGGCACCACAGTCAGGATTGTTGGAAGTGACATTTCCATTCTTATTCCAGCTGGTTGGGCTTTCATATGCAAATTGGCAGTCTTCGGGGGGCTTACAGCAACCAGACTGCATAATGCAATAGAAAGATGTTCAGTACAAAGCAAGAAAATCTCATAAACAGTTTGATTATAATACAGAGTAAATCAATTACTTAACAAAAGGCAGAGGAGACATACTAGATTGAAAAAATAACTAAAAAGGACTCATCAATTCAAGCATATAATTAGTAATCTCAAACTCAATTATTAGTTGAATTTTGTGTTGCGGCGAAAACTCAAGCAATACAAACTAAATCCAATTTTAGGGCTTAGCTCGGCTCAGTTTGGCTCAACTTGTTATAAAATAAAAATAACATCAAACTAGACAAAACTTTGAAATAGACAGTACCTAAAGAGTAAATATCTAAACACTTGCAAATTGCGATTGATGTGACACAAAAACGTCTAACCTTATCAAGAGTTGTAAAAACTAATGATTCAAATAGGAATGACCAAGAAACACAAAAAGAATTTTCAATTTTATCTAACAAAGAGAAAAAGTCCTACAAAGCAAAAGACCATTTCATGATAACAAACAAAAAGGCTACAGTTTTAATCAATGATTAACATAGAAAAATCAAAGACAACTTCAAATTAATCTAATAAATCTGACTCAACACTCATAAAATAAGTCTAACCAACGATCAAATTAGAGTAAACAAGTAATAATTGAAATTTTCTAACATTTTCCTACCAATTTCTGAATTTTAGACTAAAGGGAACAAAAAAGAGAGTTTTAAAAATAAAGGTATAGAGTATGAAAAAGGTAGAAAATTCTGTAAAAAGGTTCTCAACTTTTTCAGAAGATCTGCAAAAAGAGCATACAGAACTCATGCAAAAGCATACTACAGCACATATTCCACAAGACAAAACTTCTCAATTTAGTTCAGAAACTGAATCATCATGTTCTCATAATTACCTAATATTACTCCTAAATTCACCAAAAAATCATAGTACAAATTCAATCAGATTTCAGACCCAAAAGAAAATGAGTAAATTATCATAAGTCCACTTCTTGAACAAGAATCATAACTAAATAATTACTACCTATAATTCTAATCAAGAACCCAGAAAATTACTCGAACATAAACATATCAAATATTCAAAACAAACACAACAATTACACAAACCCAGAAAATCTAAGTAAAAGCAAAAACCCAGAAACCAAACAGATCAAATTACAGGAAAATTCAAACTAAGATCAAAATTTCAAAAAATAGAAACCAAGAATTATACCTCAATTGGAGACAAATGTTTGGCGAAAAAATCAGTAGCACCAATATTACGTTCTTGAGCAAGTTTCTGACAAACTTTACCATCAATCAAACAACTCCTAATTCGATTCCAATTCTTAGAATTATCAACCCTTTTCTGCAACCAATTGGAGTAATCACCGAGCTTATACTCCTTATACCCACGATTACTAACAACTTCACCAGCACCTTTGTTGGTAACAACAAACGCAAAAATGGTGAAACAAAACAGAATTACGATGAGAATAAACATGACAACAAGGTAAACCCAGAGAAGCCAATTAACGCGACAACAAGCGCCGATAAATCCGGCAAGAGAGACGACGAGGAGGAAGACGCCGAGTGCGATAACGGGTTTTTCGAGGTATTTTTCGCAGTCGGTTGTGGCTTTGTGAGCGAGCCAGATGCCGCCGCCGAGGATGGGGATGGAGAGGAGGAAGGTGATGAAGTTGAGGAGTCCGACGAGGCTGTTTGAGCACTTCATGGTGGTTGTTTGTTAATGGAGGTTTTGAGGAGAGTGAAAATTGGGGTTGTTAATGGCGGTGTTTAGGAGAGAGAATTGGGGAGGAAGAAGAGGGTATTTGTAGATGAGGAGGAGGAGAGAGAAAGTGACGGTTTCGAAGAAGGTGAAGTGAAATGGAAGAGAAGAAGAGGAGGAGGTTGTAACGGATTTTGGGGTGACGCGCTAACACGCGGAAGGTTGACTTGACTGATGTGGTTATTAGAGGTTTAGTGATGTGAAAAACTGACTCGATCCAACTGACTTAATATAAAATTAATCCGATTTAGAGTTTAATATGTATGGGCCGCGTAATAACTTAACGTGATATAAACTTGAATTGAACTCGATTTGACCCAACTTAACGTAGTTATCTGAATTGTTACCTCGGATAGAAAATGGATTTTGGAATTCTTTTGGGGGTTAATGTGGGGTCGTAGGGGTGATTGGTTGGTGAAGGTAGGTTGAGTTGTGTTAAAGAGGATGATGACTAATGTGAGGGAAATTAATGAATTGGTAATATTGTTTTATCTTATAAAAATGAGAATTGTCAACTTGGATATGATATTGACATGGAAGGGAGAATTGTCGAAACATGGAGTTGAGTTGGTGGTTTTAAAGAATGAGGACTTATGAGGTGAATGGGTGTAAAGAAGTAAAATTAAGTAGATATGACATAACATGAAGTCACTTAAAATAGATATGTATATAACACGACATGTGAAAGGTGGGTTGTATACTCGTACGTGTGACTTGTGTAAATTGTGTGAGTGCATGACATGTACTAAGGCGCTATGCACACAATAAGGCATGAGGTCGAATAAAACTTGATGTGGTTTGATATACCACGTGTTGCGGCATGTCACGGATTTCATGTTTGTGGATTTTGATCCAACATAATTTTTCTATGGCTCACTATAATCTAGACCTACCAACTTATGAGGTTTGTTGTTCAAACACATGCCCATGAATGAATTTGATTTCGTGGTAATTGGTTTAATTAAGGATTTACATGATTAGAATGTTTAAAAAAATGTAATTATGTATGAGTGGTATGACGCGTTAAAAAGTACGGTGCTTCTAGAGTTCTAGGTTTAGGATGAACAATGTTTATTTGTTTTTTGTTTTCTATTAACACATAGTGTTAGACTTGGGTTGACCCAAGTGGCTTAAGCTCCTTTAAGGGTTATTCATTTTTTTTAAGAGTAATATAACCATGACACAACAAAATTGACATAGTATACATATGTTGATATGTAGTTGTTATAATATAGTCATTATTTACGTTCAATTTGACCTAAAAAGGATGTAAATGATCCAACGGAAAGTTAAACCTAACTATACAACAAGCAAAAAATTAGTATTACATGAAGGTTTTAACAATATCAATTTATCACTTTATATGCAACAATAATGTGGTTTGTTAAGTTAAAATCTGGTTTGATTGATTCATTATGATCCAAACATATATATCAAGTTCATGTAAAAAAAAAAAAGATACAACGCTCGATCTCTATTTGTTCATCAAGTTTAATACCAAGCTTAACATATTATAATTTCTTTGCTCGGGTACATTTCATCACTAATTAATATACCTATAAAACTACAAACTCGATTAATTTCATAAACGTTCATTTAAATTTGTTTTAGTGTCTTAGCTTATAGGACATTGCTACATCATAATCATACGACTCAATTATTTTTAGCCTAATAGCCTATAAGAATAAAGTTTAGCCATGTCAAATCTTCTTATTCATTGTATTTTTGTAGTGAGAATTTTCTATTGTACTATATAATTACAAGGTGTATGTATCAATGGTGTGACTGCTGAGAACGACCTAAACCAAATGCCGTGATACTTTGGAATTACAAAGCCAAAGAAATTAGAACCAAACAAAAATGATAATTTTTTTTGGGTGTTCCACCTGCTTCACTCTTCGGGCCAATCCGGATTCGAGGATCAATTTTGGGTGTGGTTAGATTCAAGTCCCCTCCCATTTATTGTTGCGGGGGATCAAACACGCGGTCCCCCTACCAAGCGTAACCCCAATCACCACTACACCAATAACCAATTGGTAACAAAAATGATAATTGCAATAAAGAGATAAACTAATTCTTCAAACAATTATTCCATAATTATTTAATTGGTTGTAAGAAATAATCAGATTATCCAACCCCTTTTTATTGGCTGAAAAAGTAATCATTTAGCACGTGAGGTATTGTTTCTGTGAGTCATACCAAAATTAGCACAAGTCGTCGTCAGATTTGATGTCTCATTTTCAAAGTCAAGAAACAAGAGGCCTTAATTTATTAATTAATCCGTATTAAATTTTCATAATATTTAAAAAACCGCAATTGTCTCTCATAAAGAAATGTAGGGAATCCAAAGAAAATACGAAGTAACAACAATTAAAATGTCACGGTGCAAAAGTATCAATATTTTTTGCTGGGTCAAATCATATATGAAAAGAATATATCAATAAAATGTCTCAAATTTGTTTAAATTAAAATAAGAATAATCAAATTAAATGTACCATATAATAATTGTATAAAGTACTGTATTTATGTTGTGGACCTTTTACATTTTTATTTATATATTTTTTTGTTTTTTTTGTTGGGGGCCAGGCTTGGGGCAAACTTCCAACCTATCGATTCAAGAGTACAATCGTTATAAATTTTATGCTCGTGTATTATCCAAATGTAAGATGTGGTGATTAAGTTGTTTAGTTCGGGACTTCGGGTCAATAAGGATCTGGTCAAATTGTGTTAATTGATTTCGGGAAAAGTTCAGTCGGATATTTCAGGTTGAATAATAAAGGAGTTAAGACTAGATTTGGGGACTAAGTTTTTCAATAAAGTAGCAGAAGGGGATTAAGTTATTTTTAGGGACTTCACTTTTCCGGTGGAATTGACCACTTTCATGTGAGTTAACTACCCTTTAACCATGGAAGAAGTTAGTCCCCTATTTATTGCACTGATTATTTTTTTTTTTATTTTTTTTTTTTTTGGCAAAATATTGCACTGATTATAGTGAATGAAATATATATAGTCCCTTCATTAATTAATTTATTTTTCATACCTTAAAATAATTTCTAAAAGAATATTTACTCACCCCCTCTAACTTAGTAGAAATAGAGAAGAAGAAGAAGGGAGAGAAGATGAAAAGGTAGCCATTAAAATTAAAGCTACCCATTTCAGCAAAGCTTTAAACAATACTGAATTAAAGATCGAAAATTAAATGTGTTGGTCATGAGAAGGAATAATGAGGAAGTAGCGGCGGTGGACTGATGGGGGAGGGAAGAGAAACGAACAAAAGGGCGTGGTGGTGGCAAGAGAGCTTAAAAGGGGAAGTTATAGTGGCTGGGGAACTAATGCCATGAGAGAAGCAGGGAGAGGAAATACAGAAAGGAGGAGGAAGAAAGATTTTTTTAAAATAACATTATTTTTTAAATTACAAATATATATATATATATATATATATATATATATATATATATATATATAATTAACATTATTTTTTAAATTAAAAAAAATAAAATTAAACCAATACAAACATAACTCGTGGATTGGTTAACCAAGGGGACTATCTATCTATGTAATATACGAAGTATAAAGAGAAGAGGTGTTTTTGGTTGGGAATTTTTGAGTAGACCATTGTACCCTCTCCAAATAGTTTATTACAACTAATAAAAAATTAAAATTTACTTGAAATCTTACCTTGAAAAATAACTTTATTTTTAACTACTACATAAATTTAGAAAAGTAACCCCTCTCATGGTAGTTATTTTTTCGAAAATTAAATAATTCCTTCAAGTGTAGTTATGTTCGACTACATATTACAAGTACTTTGATTTGGGAATGTTAATTTGATGATATAAATTTGAAACTTGGTGTTAAAAAAATCGGTGTTTGTATATGGTTTTTTCAATATTTATAAGTATAACACAACGTACTATAATTTAATTAGTAGTACGAACATTAATATTGTGCACATATTTTACATGTATAAGTTAAATGATATAAATACATGCAATGAAACTTATTTTATAATTATGTATGATTTAAATGATATATAAATACAATGAAATTTATTTAAGCCCGTGTAATGCTTCAAAAAAAATATATACTTCATAATTAAGCCTTAAATATAGATTTTTTTTTAACAAAAAAAATGATTGTGTCTTACAGTCCATCCCTTAAATGGATCTTACATTTACTTATGAAAAAAATATATATATATATATATATAGATTAATAGATAGATTATGTCAATATATCATTTATGCAAATAAGTAAAGTATAAATAACTTTATGTACGAAGTATAAAGAATTGTGTTAGTAAATTTGGAGGGGGATAGTTGTGCACGCATTGCGTGTGCCTCTAAACTTGTGTTATTTAACCAAAGGGACTAAGGGGCCGTTTGGTTGGGGGTATTCAACAAAGGGAATGGGAATCGACGAGAATCATTCCCTTTGTTGTTGTTTGTTAGGCCACTTTTACAATCCCCTTTACCCCCTTCATTCCCCCAAATCCCTCTAACTTCATTCCTCACCCCCCCCCCCCCCCCCACAAGGTATTTCCATTCCATTCCTTGGCCACCACCACACCACCATACCACCATCCTCCAACATACCCACATCACCGGATACCGCACCACCGCGTACCCTTCGCCGCACCTCCCTCACCCCTCGCCGCCGCCTATCCCCTCAACTCCCCCACCCCTCGCCAGAAAGCAAATCGGTTTTTGGGAGAGGAGGAAGTGCGGCTTCGAGGTTGGTTGGGAAGGGTTTCGAGGGTGGCTGGGTGGTTGGGGAAGGATCTAGGGTTTTTTCGAGGGTGGGGGAAGGTTTTCGGGGGAGGGGAAAGTTGTTTGGGAGGAGAGGAAGTGTGGCGAGGGGTGAGGCAAGTGCGGCGAGGGGTGGGGTGGTTGGAGAAGTGAGATAGTGAAGAAAGAGGGGTTTGTGTAGTGGTGGTGGTGGTGTGGTGGTGATGTGATTCCCTTTGATTTTTAAAACAAACAACACACTAAATTTGAGGAATTTTCATTCCTTTCTCTTTCATTCCCTTTGTTCATTCTATTCCGATTACCCCCTGCGAACCAAACGGTCCCTAAGTTATTGAACATCTTTAATTAATCTCACCGAAAAAGTCACCTAGAGTCCCCATTTGCTTCCAAAAAATAACTTAGTCCACTTTTGCTTCTTTATTGAAGAACATAGTCCCCGA